AGCGGTATTCACAATTGTAAAACCTCCATCCACAATCAGATTGTGCCCGCTTACATACTTAGACTCGTCGCTTGCCAAATAAAGAACAGACTGAGCCACATCCTCTGGCTTCAGTGCTACCCCTTTGAGGTTTGAATAAACATCAAATGGATCATCATCTTTTAAATTGTACAACTTCCTTGACATTGGTGTTGGAACAGCATAAGGCGAAACACAATTAACCCGAATGCCAAATTGCCCTAATTCAAGAGCCGTGTTCCTCGTGAGGCCAAGCACGGCATGCTTAGAACTTGTGTAGGCATGCGTAGCAACTCCACCAATTACTGAACAAACGCTAGCCATGTTAATTATGCTTCCCCCACGGTTTGCTTTCATGACACGAGCTGCGTGCTTGATGCCCAAAAATGTACCAGTAACGTTAACACGATAAACGTGTTCAAACTCGGCTTGACCATTATCCAGAATGTCTGTTTTGTTGCTTCCCATGATGCCGGCATTGTTCACCATTATATCGAGCTTCCCATGCTTGACAACAGCTTTGTCAACTGCATTTTGAACATCCACTTCACTTGTGACATCGCAATGGATGAAGGAAGCGTTGGCGTGGCCTAATTCCTCGCAGATGAGGTGGCCATTACCATCTTGGACGTCAGCAATCAAGATTTTGGCACCTCGTTGACAGAATAGTTTCGCTGTGCTGGATCCAAGGCCACCGGCTCCACCCGTAATCAAAGCCACTTTTCCTTCCAATCTACGGATAAAAACTTACAAACTATTAAGCATTAGGAGCACAGATGTTAATGTTATCAAAGAAAGTGGCCCTTTGTTGAGACAATTGCATACCAAATAAGTAATCAATTTTGGAATTTTTTAACCAATTTCAGTATAAAGGGCAAACTCAGTGAGGAATTACACAATCAATAACTTCAGAAATTCAGATAATTTTGCGAGGAAGAGAGACAACATATTTGATTGTTACTCAGTAAAGTTTAGGTGAATTTCACATTTATTTTAGCTTGCTTTTTTTCGGTTGTGAGATCAGATTGATCTAATTCAGCCATAAAATTGGCAATTTTTAGAAAATTGGGGCAAATTGGGGGCTAGTTACTGATCAATAGTGCAGCAACAAATCAATTGATTAAAAAGCAAAGGGAAAGAATATAGTAGAGCAGTTCCAGTATCTACTTGGACAACAGTCGAAGGAAACAAAGCTCAAAACTCCAAACTGATTTCTCACATAATCCAACTTGGATGGTAGCTTAGCAGTTACTAATCAATGTCCCAAGTACGAGTCATGTAAGAGGCATCTGGGCTGACTTGATGCGCATGTTTTCTCGGCAAGTTATGTATAGCAAATGGAGTTCTAAAAAAAACGCATTGTTGAGATGTTTCTCAGTTATAAAAAATGAGTTGTCAGACTTGGTTCAGTATCTTACATACCTCTTTGCAACAGCGGCGACCAGTGAACTGCTTCCCATTGCAGTCTCTGGAGTGGGCACTAGTGATCTAATCAACCAACTTAGAGAGAGCTGAGTACCCTAAGAAACATAACATCCATTTCTCCAGAAGATATTTAGCCATGATCCAACCCCCCCCCCCCCCCCCCCCCTTTTCCTTTTCAGATTCCATGTCTACCATTCTATCATGTTTACTTGGACATGGCTGTTTCACAAGCATTTGTCTGTTTGTCTGTTAGTACGAGAATATAAAAGCTTAGTCTAAACCATATCATTATCATCTGACATGTTTACTGCACAGTGTGATTTGGATTCATATAACTTATCCGGAATAGTAGAAATAAGAGTTGAGATGAGTTAACAATAATTCTTCTTGTGATTTTTGAAAGTCGCACAACCGCTTTTTTTTTTTTAAAAAGTGTAAATTTTTTAATATTTAATTTTTTTTTCCTTTTTAGAGGCATATTAATTGTTTAGTATTCATATTGAAGTTTTAATAACATCTTTTTTTATTAATAGTATGACAAATTGACTTAATTTTTAAATTAAATAAAAAAATTTCAAAACTTTCAAATTCATAGATTATTTGGCTGAGTATGTGGTCTCGTCATTAACATTCTTATAAAATTATTTTTCTTTGAATTTGGCATTACTCACACAATATATGTTTGAAAATAAAGTTTGAAAGAAATTGAAGTTAATTGCAATTTTGAGATAGAGAAATTAATGATAATTTTACCTTTTGACTAGGCGGAGAGAGACAGAGGGGTAACACGGATTGATGCTTTCGTGCTTGTTTTTCATATTTTATGTCCAAATTCATTCTAGCGTTTAGAAGTTCCTTTTTTTTTTTGGCTCATCAAATGTTATTGTGGTAGATTAATGGATTGGCTCGTCAAATGTTATTGTGGTAGATTAATGGATTAGACTTTTGGGTCCAATTATTCTAGAGTTTCTTTGTTGGTTTAAGCCTTCATATGGGGCTTTGTCATAAGTCTTATTTTAAGGAAAAATTGGGTGTGGGTATCATTTTTAAGTCTTATTTGAATATAAGTTTCCTGTTTTAATAGGTAATCATTTAAATTCAAAATAAGTATTAAAAATAATAAGGAAGTACACTTTTCAGTTTTCTTTTTTTTAATGTTATTTAATTATTCATGCATTGATTTATGCATAATTAATATTGCAGTTTCTATTTTTTCAAATCTCTAAATATTTTAAAAGGTTTTTTTTTTTTTGGGTTATTGTGATATTTTCAACTGTTTGAATTTGAAAAAATTGATCTCCATTCATTTTGGCATGATCCTTTTGAACCAATAGTTTGTCTTCTTCAACATTGCAGTTTTCTTCAGAAAACTTTTCGTTTTTACCTAGAATATAGTAATTTTTTTTTCTTTTTTTTTTGTAGTGAGATTTGTGCTTCCTCTTCATCGTTTTAGAGTTTCGTATTCTCTTTTAGCTCGAAGAAAATTGCTCAACTGGACATGTTGATTTCGTCTTTTCTTTTTCTTCTTCTTTTTATTTTTTATTTTTTATGAATTGAATTCTTTTTAAAATCAATGTGACAAGGTACTCAAAAATAATGTAACAACATATTAAACAATATGACCAATTACTCAAAACTAATACAACAACATATTAGAAAAATGTGACAAGATACTCAAAAATAATATAACAACATATTAAAAAATGTGACAAATTATTCAAAAATAATATGACAATATACTAAAAAAATGTGAAAAGTTATTCAAAAATAACGTGACAATGTATTAAAAAAATGTGACAAAATAGTTCTGATATAACAACTATATGTATATAGAGAGAGACACAAAGAGAGAGAGAGAGACTGAGAAATAGTCCTTAACTTAAAAAGAATCTAAAATTAAGGAATTTCGAGAGAAATAATTCTAACATAAGAAAATTTAAAATTTTAGGAGTTTTAGAGTGAAATAATTTTAATTTGGGAAATATTTTAAATTAATAAATTTAAAATTTATTTAAATTTTGAATTTAGTTACTTGTGTGTATGTGTGTGTGTATATACACACACACAAACATACACACACAGGTAACATTTTTGTATATATATATATATATGAGTGTAAAAACGTTCTAAAGTAGTAATCGGAGTCAATGTTTTGGGGGACAGTAATCATATTTTTGTTGGCGTTGATTTAGGAATCGTGAGAGACTGATGCTTATAGGAGAAATGGCGTTTGGGTTTCTTGATGCTTGGAGGAGTACTTCAAACTTTTTGAGAAAGAGGACTTTTATCCAATAAGTTTTTGAGAGAGAGACCTTTTTCTCAAATAAGAGTTAAAAAAAGTATCGGTTTCCAAAGTTCTTTTATTTTAATAGGTTAAAATTGACTTAATTGTACTTATTGACTTTCTAAATTTTAGGACTTTTTTTTATTTGTGGAAGCTTAAAGCCACCGCTTCATTTCCTCAGCTGTTAGGCCGGCCTTGGTACTTGAGGCTTGAAGGAATAAAATTAGGGTTTTGTTGAAAGTCTGTAGCCAATATAGCGCTCAATTGTGTAAAAGTGCTTAGTAAAAAAAAAAATTGTACGTAAGTCCCTTATTTTTGTGATTGACAAAAATACACATAAAATAATACCAATCAGCAACTAATATATCACTAAAAACATAGACAACTAATCCCTTAAAATCTAGCAAAAGATGGGCAACTAATCTCATTTGAAAACAATCGGAAGTCATGCATCAAACCATTAAATCCACCAACTAATATCTATACTATTTATGAACATCAGTATATGCGAAAAAATTTTGATTTTTTATTTTATTCGTAATTATTATAATAAAATCAATTATACACATCTGTATATTTTCATTTAATTTTTATTTTTTTATTCATATTATAACTTTCAACTTATTTTTGACTCTTTTATAATGATTTTTAAATTCTTTTAAACCAATTTATTAGTAATACAATTATATATAATTTTTTATATCTATATGAAAAAGTAAAATTTGATATATATTAAATTATTTTACACATGAAGTTATCATATTAAATTTTGTTCTTAGGTATATGTTATATTTTATCTTTTGATATGCAATTATATAATCTATACTACTTTAAAAAATCTGAATACATGGGAAAAAAAAATAAAAATTCACTTTTACCCCCCCAAAACTACTATTATGCCATCCTTATCCCTCAGATGCTACAGACTCCATTACTTCTCACCCATTTAATCTCTCTTCATCTCTTCAGCCGCTAGCCCTTCTCCCTCCCCCCCTCGCCTGCATATTCACAAATTGTCCAAGAATTAAAGTTGATGATCACCTCTACTCAATTGCTTCCCATTCTGAGCGGTTATTGTCTCTCTGTCTCCTTATTTTTGAGGTGTTACTCTCTCTCTCTCCCCTGCATATTAACAAATAGACCATGAAGAAACCATTCGTCTGTCTCTCCTCCGTAATCACACAACAACCTGGAAAATCAAATAGGGCTTCATATTTGAAGGCTTTTGTTCGTGGGATTGTCCTTAATTTATCCAGTTTACTGTTTTTTTTTTGGACAGTGGAGGTATTGTCTTTACTTTACATGCTATTTTGATTTTTTTTTTTGAGCTCATATCCTTAATCATTCTTCTTGTATCCATGCACTTGGACATCAAAGCAAGATCACCTATGGATTCGACGTAATCTTCTCAACATCAGTGGACATAAAAGTAATATTATGGAAGTTATGGGGCCTCATCCGTTAACGAATTCAAGCAAATCAACCAGGTTTCAACATTCGATCAATTGTGGTACGGTTCTTCTATCTCTCTCAATTCTCATTTTTCATCTCATTAACCCAACTCACCCAGAAGATGAAACTAAATAAGAGGGTCGCTACGCTTCTATCAATCAAGACAACAGGTAGAAAATTAAAGTATTCATACATAAATTTCTTGTGGAAATTTTGGTTTTATTTTTTTGAATTAAGGTATTTCAAGCTGAACTTAATTTTGTTAATTATTGAAATTTTTAGAGGGAAATGAAATTTCATAAATGCTAAATTTCTCAGTTTCAGTTGCTTTTTAATCGAAACAAGGGATGGATGTAAAACTTTTGATTTGAATGCAAGTCGAGACCAAGGTGAAAAATTCCAAAAACACATGTGAAGGAAATGAAGGATAAGGCAGAGAAGACTTGTGGTGAAAGGAAGACAAAGGCTGGACTCTGGAGATGCTTCCCAGGCTGGGAAAAAGGAACGAGTTTTGGGGGATTTTGTTTGGACCCAAAATGCAAGGAATGGTATTGCCATGCATCTACTTTGATTTGTTATCTTTTGTTTTTTATTTTTTACATTGTCCTTTGTTAATGAAACCTCAATGTTTGGGATGCCTAAGTATCGGTCTAATTCTTTTTTACTGCTCGGTCTAATTTTCTTATACTGAATGGAAATGGAGAAGTGTAATTTATAGTTTGGTGTTATTATTTAAAAAAACATTACTAAAAAGAGAATACAGGTCGAGTGTTTCTTTATGAAAGATGTATATTGTCTTCGTCCATCACTTCAGGTGACATTTTTTATTAATTTTATTTTGTATCATATTGAAATTGTGTGTGCTGAACTTATTTGCTTGCATTGTGTCAAAAAACAAGCAAACAAAACTTACATGCTTGCATGCATTGGCTTATAGAAGTTAAAATTTGGGTAAGGTTGGTTATTCTTGTGACATATATTTTGGTAGGATCAAATCTTCCATCCTATAGCTACTACTTTATTTTCTTATTACAAAAAATTTAATTCCATTCAACTATAATTTTTTTAAGAAAACTCTATTTGAAGTTAAACAATTCCTAGAAAAAAAAAATACTTTTCGGAAGGATAAGAGTATTTTTGAAAGAGAGAAAATCTAGAAGATGTATTAATTTATAAAGCTAAAATATTCAAATTTTTTGTAGTTTCCTTTTAATTATAAAGCACTTGCTTTGTAGACCATGCAATATAAATTGATTAAGTGGCCTAACTAACTATTTATAAAAGGCTCTAATTCTTTTGAATAATTGTTTCTTTGCATTTACGTGAAGGAGGAAAAAAATCAGTATACATGATTGTTGGCCTATTTGCGATCGACAATGTACACGGGTTGACGGTCACAAAGCACTTAAGGTATTCAACATCCTTTTGAAGACAATTGAATTGCTCTTTATACATTTAGTGTCAGTAGTTTTAAATTATAATCGTTGCCATTTACAGTGACACTGGTAGAGACATTCTCCATATAAAGTCCACACCATCTTGGTTGAGTTATTTGAGTGCTTCGTTGATTATTAGAGCCACAATTCATACTGGTGCTTGGTGCTTCCATAATTCTGTCAATTTCTTTGTCAATGGGTTGGTTTCCATGAATTATTGCTTTATGTTTTGAAATATAAGTAGCATTGTACATTAGCCATTATTTTTTAAGAAAATTGAGAGAAAGAAAAGTGAGAAAAATTCTAAAATTTTTGCTCTTTCTTTCTGTGTTTTTGTCTTCTTTGGATATTTTCTTGAAGAAAGGAAAAAAAGGTAAAAAAACAAAATAAACTGATGTAAAAAAATAATAATTTATGTTGTTTTGGGGTCTTAGAGTTTATATTTATTTTTTTTGCTATTGCTTAGAGAATATATTTTATTGCATTGATAGTTAATGATTTCTTTTAGTAAGTTGATTGTGAGTTTGGGTTCTGTGTTTATATAATCAGGATATCCACCTACACTATGGTTTCATTTTTGGAAAGTGTTGCTCAATTAGTGGACCAATTGAGCAGCACATAGTAGGTTTGGGCATGTCTAGATGTAATTGAAGTAGAGGAATGATGTCTTTATTTTTGACAAATTTGGTCTACAAGTGGGTTTTACAATTAAATGTGATTTGGGACAATGATTTATGCTTTTAGTTTCTATTGGACATTGATTCACAATGTTTGATGATATTTGTTGCAATCCAATGAAATAAGTATTTAAGATGATATTTTGATTTTCATATTATGTTTATTCTCAAAACCATATGTACAAATGTTAGTTCAACTTTTTGGCCATCTAGCTTAAACCATTGCCATTGTCATTGTCATTGTCATACTCTCGCATTAACAAATCCATTGATCTTTTGTAGAAAAGACTAAAAAAAAAAAGAAAAAAGAATCATGATGATTTAGTCAAAAAAAAAAAACCATAACATAGCTCAAACCACTTTGTCAGAACAGGGCTAAAATAGGATTAATGTTGTTTATCTTGTTCCAGTGAAAATTCTCAGATCCTATTGTATGTGCTTCGCCGACCATTTTTAGTGTATGAAGATTGTGCAAAATTTTAATGCTTTCTCAGACATTGGGCTCTTGCACTTTTAGGAATAAACTCAATCCTACTGAATAAATATATAGTACACAACCAAGGCACATAGAAGTCCAGCTACTCTTATTTTGTTAAATTAGTTCTTTATAGTAGTTTTTGACAAGTCACTATAAGTGATGGTTATCTGCAAATTCAGGTTTTCTTTCAAAAACTCTCTTGGTGCAAAAAATTGGGCTGCTACAGTTGTCTTAGATTATTCATTGTGTAGGAAAACTAAGGTTTAATAGTCAAACCTTGAATTCCCTTTTAGATTTCTTATTATGATAGATATTTAAAGGCTATTGTGGTCATCAGGGAGATTGCAGCTTGCAAAGAAGACATCATGAGATGATTGAAGAAGCTCCAGTTATGACTTACAGTACCTCATATGTTGTACATTGTGATTTTTCTGACAAGAATATGCTGATAAGAGAACTGTAACAGAAATCTATGCAATTACTGGCAAATGTCATCAAGGATTTGTGTTTCTCTACCTGGGGAGGCTGCTATTTTTATGTGTTATTATTTTGTTTGATGAAGTACCATCATATTATGCAAAAAAAATGGTCTTTTATTGTAGTAATATCTTTTTGTAACAACCATTATCAAAGTTGAGGCAATTTTGCAATTGGTTTCCAAGAACTACTTTACTTCACAGCATGTATTGTTTTCCCTTGTCATTGGTAAAGTGTTAGGCATTCTCCAGCCCTGAACTAGACTCATTTGCTGCCCCATGTTATCCTTAAAACTTCAGCATTTTTTACTTTTTATACTCTTCCAATGTGCAAAATGAACAATTCAGAGAATTATTTTGGATCATAAAACATTTTTAACTCATAAAAAGACAATCCCTCATTTTCTTTACAAACATGTTTCAACAAATTAGTTGTTGTCTATGACCATTTTCATTATTTAGCTGGTGTAAATTTTTAATTTGTTGGGGTTATTGGTTTTCCTTATCATATAATCATTATAATATGCACAAGCTATTGTGCAATTGTAAGATTTTAATGTTTGTTGTTGTGTCTCAAATTGCATCGTAACCTTCTCTATCAAGACAACTATGGGTGTTAAATTAAATATTCATTTTTTCCATTATGCTTTAACAAGATGTCATGCACTGTTGATCTTTTTGATGACTTCAAAGACATAATTGGTTTTCTTCGCCCAAACATACATGGATTTTTTTTTTTTTTTTTGAAGTGATTCATGGACTTATTATTATTATTTTGATAATGATGTATTGCATATTTCCTCCTCTTAAATATACACTTTTTCAATAGGATTAGGTTAATTATTACTTTTTTTTTAAATAGTGCACGTGTAATGCACGTGTGCATCAACTAGTAATATTATAAGTGAACTAATTAATCTATTTAACAAAATAAAAATTAATAATTCTATAATATAATTAAATGTACAAACGCCTAAAAAGGTCGGAGAGATACCTAAATAAATAATAACTTATAAAGTAGATTAGTAATTAAATTTAGTACTAATCAAAATAAGGATTAATTATTTGGCACTTAGTTTACATTTAAAAATAGTCCATATGAGTTCGATTACAATTCTGTTACATACATTACATGTCCAAAAACTAATTGACATAGTTTTACAAAAGCATAGTTTAAAAGGCACAAGTCGACTTTTCTTCATCTTTGAGGCCCGAAATGAGAGTCTTCCACTGGTGTATAACCCGCACTTGAAATTTTTTTTCATAAAGGATGAGTTACGCTCAATAGGATATCTCCTAAAAAAGCTATTCCTAAAGGGCTACAAAAATGTAATTCATGAATCAACTTCTAATTAAGCCAAAACTACTTGTAAGTTCAGGCAAAAATTAGAGTGTGTTCGAACGCTGATTAGCCCAAGCCTAAGCAAGAGATACTGTGAGTGGAGCATATTTGAACCCAACTTATGTTCGAACGTGGCACGTCCCAACACCAATCACGTTCGAATGTGAGTGCGTGTTTTGTAGCGATCAGACTCACGCTGCTTGAACAGTTTTTTACCCTATAAATACCCTAAGGACGTTTTTTAGGTTAATTTTTAGTAGCTTTCAACCTTATGAAGCCAAGAGAGGGTGAGAGGGAATAAAAAGGGAAAGATCTTAAGGGATTAATGGATAGAAAACTCATCAAAGCACGCTACACACTACTCGGTGGAACCAACGGATGATTATGATCCTTCACAAACACTTTTACTACCCATTTTTTTGACTTCCTCTCGCACTTAACATAGAATACTGCCAAACAAGCCACTCAAGTCAGTCCTTTGGGTTCCCCTGCCCTTTCATATCTGTCTTGGTATTTGCAGCTTGAAATCCTTATTGTGAACATATCCATTTTCTTGACACTGGAATATGGTTTTTGTCATATTTTAAGTCATCTTTTCTGACGTTGAAACCTATAAACTTAGCGTATGTGTTATAAAAATTATCCGCTTCAACTTCCGAGTAAAACTTCATGTCAAGGACTTTTTCAACTAATAACTCTTGTAACGTATTTTTCAGTATGACGTGTTTCGAGGTAGCCGCAATTGATTTATCTCTATTTTTATCGAATTTGTCATGACGATGCCCATATTCATCATTATAGTTACCAAACTCATACATATCACTCTCTATGGGATCCTCATTAAATTCTATAACGACTTATTGCATCTCATCTCATTTCATGTCATGGTTAATGTACGCTGTAAATCAATGACATTCAATTTCATAGTCAATACTACAATACTCAATCATGTTGCTACAAAAGGAGAATGTAAACGAAGCTGTGATGGGTAAGTTCTCTATTCCTTTGGGGTGAATATTGATGGATAAGTTGCTGCTAACATTAGAGGACCATAAAGTTCTTTTTTGTTTGGTAATTTTTCACTTAAATAGCAGTTGGGAACCAGCATATCGACAATTATGAACTGCCGTTTGCATTTCACCACCAGCTATATTAAAATAAAGATACTAAATCGAAGTCACTGCATAGGTCAATTTGAAATCCATCGTTCAGTTTTCTACAATTTTAGCCTAACTAAAATTATCTTCTATTTTCTAAACCCTTCATTTGGAGCCTAAAAACAAGGTTCCATGGCCTTTTCTCGCATCCACAAATTAACCAGTAAAAACTTGTGATCACCCATTTCTCTCTCTTTCTTCAATTCTCTCTCTAAACATACGCAATTCCATCAATTCTCATATCTCCTCCAAGGGCCAAAACACAATTCAATTCCCTTTTCTTCAACCTGCAGCTCAAATCCAAAAGGTACATTCATCCCTACCCCAATATACACAATTGTCATCGAACCGGCTTGAACCATGGCTCGTGCCATGGTCCTGATATGGGCCTATTCTGTGCTTTTGGCCATGGTCTATCTCGTCGATGGCATAGGTGTGAACTGGGGCACTCAGGCAACACAAAATCTGCACCCAAGTGTGGTGGCTCAAATGCTTAAGGACAATAAGATCAGTAAGGTTAAACTGTTTGATTCGGATAACTGGACTGTCAAATACTTTGCTGGAACTGGCATTGAAGTCATGCTTGGTATCCCCAATAGCCAATTGAATCGATTCAGCGACAATTATGACAATGCCAAGGACTGGGTGAAGGAGAATGTCACCAAACATTTGTATGATGGTGGTGTCAATATAAAGTGAGTAACCTTCGCTAACAATCATGGTTTAATATAGTGACTGATTTCGGATATGACTATCCATCTCGGTTCCTTCTGTTTTGAGGTGTATACACTTCATGTGTACACCACATCGGCGATGTCTCAGACAACTTGATCCAGTCACAATGTCTCAGACAACTTCATCTTGTTGTCCAAGTTAACATCAGCGAATTACAGTGTAACGGTTGTACAATGCCGCACTATGGCCACAATTATTGGTCATGTCTGACTTCTTCTCTATCTGTTGCTTCATGCACGTTCTTTGATGCTATGATCGATGCGTCTCAATGCCTTTGAGTCAGTTGCTAATATTGCAAACTCGGCCAAGTTCTCTTGTTTCTAATTGTCATTTTTTTTCCCTGATTTCATGCTTTTTACAGGTACGTGGCTGTTGGCAATGAGCCATTCTTGAAATCTTACAATGGCTCACATCTGAAAACTACCTTCCCAGCATTAAAAAACATTCAGAAAGCTCTTGATGCAGCCGGTGTTGGAGACAAAATCAAAGCAACCATCCCCCAAAATGCCGATGTCTACGACTCTGGTTCACAAGGCCCATCTGCCGGTGATTTTCGATCTGACATAAGGGCCCTTATGATCGATATAGTTCGATTTATCAAAGACAACAGTGCCCCATTCGTCGTCAACATATACCCCTTTCTCAGCCTGTACGATAATCCTGATTTTCCTGTGGAGTTTGCTTTCTTTGACGGTGGTGCAAAACCTATCAATGACAAAGGTACTCAATACAACAACATGTTTGATGCAAATCTTGATACATTAATTTGGTCAATCAAGAAGGCCGGTGCACCAAACGTGAAGATCATCGTTGGGGAGATCGGATGGCCAACGGATGGAAATATAAATGCCAATGCCAAAATGGCTAAGAGGTTCTATGATGGATTCTTCAGGAAAATGGCTACAAACAAAGGAACCCCACTTCGCCCGGGGCCTATTGAAGTATATCTGTTTAGTCTAACAGATGAGAACCAGAAAAGTATTGCCCCGGGCGACTTTGAGCGCCATTGGGGAATTTTCCGGTATGATGGACAACCTAAGTTCCCAACGGACTTCACCGGGAAAGGTCAGGACAAAATGCCAGTTGGAGCAAAGAATGTACAATACCTACCACAGCAGTGGTGCGTGTTAAACAGTGACATCAAGAACATGAACCTGGTGCCTGAAAATGTTAACTACGCCTGCTCATTGTCCGATTGCACAAGCTTGACATACGGATCAACGTGCAATAAACTGGATGGTCATGGGAATGTCTCGTACGCATTCAATATGTATTTCCAGATGAACAATCAGGACGTCGAGGCATGCAATTTTCAGGGTCTGGCCAAGATTGTGACTCGAAATGCCTCACAAGGGGACTGCCTCTTCCCTATACAGATTGTAAGTGCTGGAAGGAGACTTACCATGGTAACTGGAGTGAGTGTTCTTGCAGGATTGTTGACCTTATTAGCATTGTTTTAGAATGTCATAAGTTTAAGGAGGTCAATGCAACATGAGATCACTTGATCAAAAGTACTATAGTCTTTCACCAAGTTGACAATAATGGATTATAGCAACTTGAAATATTTTGTTTTCTATCATTTTTCCCCAAGTAATATCATATTTTTCGTGATTTGATTTTTCTCATTGGAGATTCCTGCTTGCTCTTTTATCTCAACGCTTCACAGTTTTGATGGTTTCAATTAATCTCCAACTAACAATGCTAATGGTTAGCCTATTCCATGGTTTTAGTTTATCTTTTTGGTAGTTTCTACGTCCACCCTCTTCCCCCCTGCTTGTTCCTATTCTGGTATTGTCTCAACCCTTACTCTTCTCCCGCTGCCTCTTCCTCTCGAAGTACACACTTACAATAATAAAATTGTGACGCCCCAAAATTTGAGGGTCCTATCTCAACCCGTTAATCACCCATCTATAACACTCCAACCCGGGGTACACTATCTATCACAAACGATAAAAAGAACTCGACAACAACCATAAATCTCTACCCCTTTTCTGTACATAAATACAAGCACATAAAAATTCACCATAACCCCTTTGTGGAATGGCTCACCATGAGTCCTACTTATTGTCAGACCGTGATATTGATCTCAAAACTATGACATATAAAAGAAAAATAATTTAATTAAAAAAGACAAATAGACAAAACACAAATAGATTAGATTCACGACCTTCAAGGCCCGTTAGTATCTTTAGATCAATAAACATCATGCACATACACTAATTATTACATAGACATATTCTAGCCATTATCAATCACATGAATATATATATAAACACACACGCACTCACATGTGTCAATGAATTAATTACAGAAAAATTTAAATCCTTCTCATTAATAACAATAGTCTGCTGCACAAACCATAACCTCATACTTGAATGTAAAACTATATAGTTTAAGCAATCAAGTTTCAACTCAATTGTGTTCCACAATATATATAATTTTTTATTTCCCAACTTATTCACCTTTTTGAGAACCCCTAGGTGATCCTGACAATATTATTGTCATCACTGCACCTAGCACAAATTATGTCAAATCCTATATAAATACTATTCATACATAGGTGTTACATATACATGCATGATTGATGAATCAACCCGTTTTTAAATACTTTCACAAACAATGTAACCTAACTACATAGGCATTTCGTACTAACCATGCCATTTTTCCCTAGCTAAGTGTGTATTTAAATTCATAAACCATATATACCTGTGAACAACCAAATCTCAAGAGCTTGTATCTAAACTCAGTTGAGTACTTTCAAGCACTTAGCGATTTAGCAAACTAAAAACCAAGGGTCTATGCCAAGATAAGGAAACAAATAAAATAATTTTTTTTTTTTTTACTCTATCACAAACATCATCCCTTGAGTTTAAAACATTGAAAGTATTTCTTACTCACAATGCTTTTGTTTAGAGATTATCTAACTTTAGACACTTTCACAACTCACTCACAGTTAGCTTGTACTACATAATAGCTTTACCGATATAGTTAAAGTTGTTAAAAGTCTTCACTTCTCACACATAACACATACTATTCACAATTTTGTAAATTTTTCATAATCAACACTATAATAACCCACCATAGCACATTAGTTATTACAATCATGTTACTACATGTGTTTCAATTTCATCATTCAATAAATCAAACCCATTATGCTTTCATTCAAACATTTATGTTAACATATCCCTTATTGGTTTTTCTAATCAACGCCCTTTTTAACATTGTCCTTTCTATCCATTCAACATAAAACGGAACATAAAAATATTTCATCTCTATTCAATCCAAAGTAATTGTAAAATCCTTAATTCATAGTGCTATAAAACAAACAATCAATATTAATAAATATACACATACATAACATTAGCATCCTAATGTCTAACTCTATCTACAATATACAGACCCCCTAAACTGTCCACTGCCGACCTAAATGTACTTGTCTACAAAACCTGTAAACTTGGCTCTGATACCAAAAATTGTAACACTCCAACTTGGGGTACACTATCTATCACAAACGATAAAAAGAACTTGACAACAACCATAAATCTCTACCCCTTTTCTATATGTAAATACAAGCACATAAAAATTCACCATAACCCCTTTGTGGAATGGCTCACCATGAGCCCCACCTATTGTCAGACTGTGATATTGATCTCAAAACTATGACATATAAAAGAAATATAATTTAATTAAAAAGGACAAATAGACAAAACCACCCCTCCCCACGACGACATCCCAATCGACCTTCTAGACTTGACAGTAGACTTCTCGCATCTTTACGATTTTTCCTGAAAAGTCATTATGATCATTAGTGAGAGCAATGAGGTGATCATTAATCATGAGCACAACAGGAGAAAAAGAAACAATTTATTAATTTAGGAACAACCTTAACAACGCAACAGTTACCAACATTCAAATTACAATTTACCACATAGACGTTATTGGTGTACATCACATAGACATAACTTGTGTATACCACATAGCCAAAATATACTACATAAATCATTAGTTTCACATAATTAAATTAAGCCACACAACGAATACCCCTCTCGCACAAATCCCGGCCACACCAGGAATTCAAGCCACACAAAAACAATTCTCAACACTTAGATGAATCATAGCACATAGCTAATCTTTCATCAAGTAGACAACTCGAAACACATCGCTAATTTCCATAACGTAGATGACCCATACCAAACATTAAATTCACATCATTTAGATGACTCACAATCACTTTATTTCCTCTTGCCACATATAAAATATAAAATCAAACACTTAGTTCCTATCATAAAGACAACTCAAAATCGAACACTTAGATCCTGTCATGTAGACAACTCAAAATCGAACACTTAGTTCCTGTCACGAAGATCACTCAAAATCGAACACTTAATTCCTGTCACGTAGACAACTCAAAATCGAACACTTAGTTTTGTCACAAAGACCACTCAAAATCGAACACTTAATTCCTGTCACGTAGACAACTCAAATTGAACACTTTGTTCCTGTCACGAAGACTACTTGTATCCAATAATAATTTGTCATAATATATATCTCATAGTAAGAATGAATCACGTTCACAAGTAAGTTTACCACCCAAACAAATCAACTCATGTCGTATGCACATATTCAATTACACAATCAACCCAAGCCACAAAGAATTACTTCATCGTTTAGTCAATTTCAATTACACAATATTATCACATCACTCAATTGTTGAATCTCAACATAAACCATTTCTTAAACATATAAACCAAACTTAAATATTTATCAAATAAAAGATGTGGGTAGTGCACCTACCTTGCATGGAATGCTACCTCGAAGATGACCCTTTTGCCAAAGTTTTGAGTGCGGCGTTCTTTGAGGTGTTCACCTTCAAACTTGGCACACCCAATATTTGCAATCCACTTGGCATTAATATATAATAATGCTCAAAGTTTGAAATAGTTTATTCGAACCAAGTTCAATTATCAATTCAAGTCAAATTAAATAATCCATTCGCATCAAGTTTAATAATTGATTCGAGTCAAATTAAATAATTTATTCACATCGAGTAAAGTTATCTACTCAAATCAATAGAGCTAGTCTTCTCATATCCGTTAAAATAATATTTATTTGAACTAATTACACTAAGATAAACTTTTCCATATAATTGCAAATCCAACAAAAGTATACTTGAATTTACTCCATTTTCTATAAAATCTTAAAATTACTTGCTTTCTTGCAATTAATTCATATCCTTGAAGTTACGAAATTTCAAGAACAATTTATAAGATTTCTAAGCTAGCCACCAAACTACTATCTCTCTCGACCAAAATTCAACCCACACATAACAATCCCATTCTTTTTATTTTTCATGCAACAACACTAATTATACTCACACACCCACACAAGCATTATGTTAATTTTTCATGCAACACCCATGGTACTACGCAATCACCATAAGCATAACATTTAACCCACATGCAATACCCAAATACATACACTAGAATAGTATCTATACATTCAAGAGGAGAGAAGGTAGATTACATAACTAAGCTTACATCTTGTATCCACTTCCTTCACCACCAAGCACCACCACTAATCTTCCACCATTAAGCCCACCACCAAGCTCAACCATTTTCCCCTCCTAGTCTTGGCCGAGATTCTCAAGTGGAGAGTTTTTTTTTTTTTTTGTCTTCCTTAGCCGAACTTAAAGAGAGCTCTCTCTCTCTCTCTCTCTCTCTTTTCTCCCAAGTGTTATCCTTTACCCACATGCATGAGTGGAGTCTCATCTCTCCCTTTTTTTTTTGTTCTTTCTTTTTGCATGCAAGACATGCCTTGTATGTCATGCTAAGTGGAAAGCCTCATCATGACCCAATATTATATATATATATATATATATCCTATACGCACACACACACACACATATAATACATACATACACATATATATCCACCTATATGTATATACCTAAATTGATAATAACCCATTAATTTATATTGCTAACTTTAATCCACCTCCTGGATATACTAACACATTTATTTTTAAAATAACAATAAGTTGACGTCACATATTTGCCACCTATTTAATTTCACATACACTAACGTACATAAAATAGTAAAATCATATCACATGTAAACATACTCATTTAATTTTTTTTTTCACAATTAAACAAAACAATTCCCCTATGGTCATTCAATCCCACTAATTCCCATACATTATTCATTAGCACCCTATAACTATTAAAATTTCAATCATACATGTTTAGGTCTCATATCAATATTCCTAATTAAATAATAATTACCAACCATGCGCATGCATATCATATGTGAATATGCTTATAATAAATATTTTTACCGAGATCAACATGCTATCCCTCATATTCCCGATACCTCATTTTTTAATTCACGGACTAAAGTTTGACTGTCACTAGATTATTTAACATTCAAATTCATAATATTAAAATGTCTATCGTGCACTCTCG